CCCGCCGCCAGTCTAAAGGCTCGTAGTAGTTGTCATTACCCGCGGCGGCGGTGGCTGAATCTTGCCAACGGAGGGTGGTGGTGGAGGGGGAGGTGAAGAGGGTGGGAGTGGTGGAGAGGTGCTGGAGATGGATGGCAAGGCAGTTTGTGTGCTTGCCTTCAAGGTGGAGACGCATTCCGGTGACTGGTTGGGAGTGGGAGATGATGACAGGGGTGGTGTTGATGCGGAGCTTGGGGCCAATCAGAGCTAGTTGAAGGGAGGAGGAGGATTTGGAGCGGTTGGAGCTGGGGCCGAGTGGGTGGTCGTTGAGGAGCGGAGCCCAGGATCTGTGGGATTGAAACTCTAGGAAGTGTTGAAGCTCGGATAATGGAGGTTTATCTGGTAATAATTAAGAATGGAGAAGGTTTTAGTGTGCAGCTTATATTGATGGAAGTATGGAAGGGAGTGTTTTTAATACTTTAGGGGCATAACGGCATTTGCATACATTCACATAATTTCTATATAGTTTCATATGTAAGACCTTGTAAATATTCATATTTACATTCATACCATACAACTCTTATGAAATACATTTTTTTCATGAATAGTTTTATGACACCAATGTGTTGTGTAAGTCTAAATATGAATTTTTTAGGCGTTAGATATTTATATAAGTAAGAGTTGTGTGGTATGTATGTATATAAATTTCCCTAATACTTATTTAGGGCATTTACGTACTACCACCTTATTCCTATGGATTTACATATCTAACACCTAAACTTTGTTTTTTACATCTATATCACCTAAACTTTCATATCACATAAGAAAATATCACCTGAACAACTTAGAAAAAAAGTAAAATACATTTTATGCAAATGAAAGGTGGTATACATGTAAAAATTGAAGTATAGGAGTTGAGTGGTATGTATGTAAAACTTCCTACTTGTTAATGGGAAAACAAAAGATCTAGCATGAAGAGAGTAATGTTCCACTGGACTCAATTCGTTTACAATTTTAATAATTTCTTAAATTTTAGTTTAATATTCCATAGGGGCATTTACATACTTGCCACCCAATTCCTATGCATTTACATATTTAACACCTACACTATGCTTTGTACATCATGCCACCGAAATCTTTCATATATCATATCTGCCACCCAATTCCTATGCATTTACATATTTAACACTTACACTATGCTTTGTACATCATGCCACCACCGAAATCTTTCATATATCATATCAAAAATACCACATTTTTAACTTTTAAAATGTAAAGTACACATTTTTATACATATGAAAAGGTGGTATACATGTAAAGAATGAAATTCAGTTGTTAGATATGTAAATAAATAGGAATTGAGTGGTATGTATGTGAATCTTCCTATTTCATAATGAGAAAACAAAAGAACTAATATGTTCAACTTGACTCGATTCATTTATAATCTTAAAATTTCTTTAATGTTTGGGTTTCAATATTCCTTGCTTTTATTCTTAGAAGGATTATACATACATCGGAGGTATAAATTGATGGCATGGGCCAAGAAGCCAGCGCCAGCCACGCCCTTCATGAGTGAGGTTATGGGCACAAAAGTGAAGTTGATGATGTCCGGCATGGAAGGCACGGTGAGAAGCCATTCATAGTGGCTGCTTGCTGAAGTATCTCCTCCTCTTCTCGAGCAGACAACTGTTAAGCCCTGAAACATGCAGAGAAAATGAAGACCAAAATCGGAGGTGTAAGCCCTGAAACATACACTTAACATTTGCATTTCAGTTTTTTTCATTTTCAATTTTTTGTCTTTCATTCATAACCTTTGTTTTTACCCGATTATTCTGTTTTATCTGATAATTTAGATTCATTTTTGTTACTATATGATAGCTTTCAGTGAGATCTGCCTGAGTCATTTATTTAAAACTCTATTTAATTGTTCATTTATTTATTTTGATTCAGACAAGTATGGGAAAACTCACATTTTTGCATGAAACATTGGTGAAGCCATCCATCATCAGTGGCTGCAGGTCAAATACATTGAAAGCCTCCGAAATCTGCAAAAGCCCAAAACATCCATTTTGATTGTTAATTTAAAGAGCACTTCCCCAAATCCTTCAACTTTTCAATTATAATCAACGCTGCAACTAAATATTAGCCGTTGCTCACTTTTTAAAATTAAATAACTACTGAGCCACACTACAACTTCAGTAATTCAATCTTCTATCTGCATCTTAATTCAAATGCAAAAATAAAAAATGTTTTAAGTGAATTGAATTACCTTGGGCTTGTTGTAGTCCTTGGACCTGTAGTGAAGAGGAGGGAGAGCACAGGTGCCTGTGAAGAGCTGATCTCCAAGCTGGCCCAAATTCTGCTTCAGCTCAGAAGAAGACAAATCAGAAGACTGATCCTGCCTCACATAAACCACATCCTGCCCTCCCACACTCAATCCCACTATTATATGAGTTCCATAATTCTCAATAAACCTGCATCATACATTCAAATATATACATTTTTATTACATTCTTAAGATGAACTTTCAACTATATATATAT